CTTGTTTCTTTGGAACGGAGGAGCCTAATATGGAGTGACCCGTTTGGGGCCACATATGTGTCGACTTCACAGTCGTCACCGCTGTCATGGTCTGTGTGGACCTCAGGGTCAACCGTAGGCCGGCTGCCCTCGGAAGTTAGTACATTATCAGATATCATCTCTGTGGTACTCTCCCCACAGACGGCGCCAAATGTTTCGGGGTTTTCTGAGGTGTCCTGCGGGAGAGTTACAGCACCAAGTATGCACACCTGACTTCTGTACCTGCAAAACCACAAAACTTCGGTTCGGTGGAGTTTCGCCTCCGAAGATCAAGTTAGTATGATTTCGGATGAGATTGCGTGCGGAAAGTAAATGGGTATTTCTCTCTGATTCAGGAAGATTCCGCAAGTAATATTGCTCGGGTTTTTTTGTGTGTATTTATGAATCACAATAAATGAGGATGATTCCTCTATTTATAGCAGATGAGAATCTGCTCCCCTATTAGGGGTACAATGCCACGTGGCGTCCATTGGTTGGATGCCCTTGGTGCTATAGGAGGGTGACACGTGTCAGGCCCTCATTGGGCCACGTGTCTAGGGTAATTTTTACCCTAAACAAATATGAAACCGTACCTGGAATACAACCGAAACAAGTTTTCCAATCTAGTCACTAGACCTGTACCAAATGTGTGTGTAAAGTGGATTCGGTTTCCAAAACATTACAACGCTTCCCGGATAACTGTCTGAACCAAAATTCTCCACGTTGTACGGTCCTTGTAAATTATGTTTTATCCAGTTACCAACGTACCACTTTCTAATTCGTGATTTAAGTACCACCATTATTAGCGGGGAATACTTCTCATGGAACATGGTGAAATGTTTGATAAAAGAGGGCCTACTAAGTCCCCTAGCATTCCAACATAGAGTGACTGAACCTCGTTCAACCACGTTGTTAATTGCTGAATTGTAATCTGCACCATAGCTTACCCGATGGTATCGTTTTCGAAGAACAATGTGTTGGAAGAACTTTGGTGTCATTGCACAAGCTTCCACCTCGAATTTGATTTCAGTCATCTTACTCTCCACTTTCATTACGTGGATGGTGTCTGTGAAGGACCCAACAAAGATATGGCTCCATTTCTTAGGAAACACATAAACGGGAATAAAATCAGTGTTGATATTTGGCTTCATATCAATGACCTTACATAACGCAGCTGGAACAATATCCAATGAAGAGGAGCCGTAGAATCTACCTATTTATAGCATTACAACAACGCCCTCATGGTAGCATCTGAGGAGGTCCTCTAACAGCGAGAGGTGTCCCAACACCGGCGACCCATTCTCAAGGACCATGAAGTCCGTTGGACATGTTGATGAAGCCACAAGGTTGGATCGCAAGTAATGAACGGGGAGGTACAACCTGTTTAAGAGTTCCTCATCCGTCTGAAAATACTTAACCTTGTTAATATTCATCTCCTTATCAACTCGAATTGTTTTATGAAAGTATAAGATGGGTTCCTTAGCGTGAAAAATTATTTGAGTGCTACAAGAAGTGATTTGGCATTGGGCAGATTGTAATAAAATGGAATTTGGTTTTCTATTTCGGTGCTTGTTCATGGTGAAGGAGTTAGTAGTTTTATTTAAGACTAAATAAAGGTTGAAAAGAGCAAATTATGTTGTTGAAAGCACTAATTTAGGAGTAGAGGAGAGGAAAAGTTTTGCATTTACTACTTATACTGACTTCTCCATTAATGTAGCCACAAACACAAGTCAACATATGTGTATAGGGGCATAGGGTGCAGGCCTAAGGAAGTGTAATGGCTTGTTAAAAGAAGCACAAATATGTTTTACTACACTAAAAAGTATACCACTAAGACAATATGGAGTATTACTAGAGGGGTGGTTCACTCTGTTTGCATTCCCATTAAATACCACTTGAACTAAGATGGAGTACCACTGTAGGAGTGGTTCTCTAGTATTAAAAGTGTTCGATTTGACATGTACCCAGTCAAGAAAGTCATCTGATTTTTTATTATCTTATTAAGTTAGTTAGTCAACTTTAAAAATTGAGTCAAGGTATTAATGGAAGGTTAGCGGGAAAAATATTTTCTATTTGGCGCCACAAACAAGTTGTCCCAAAATTAAACTGAAAGTACCTAAACGATACTATACCACTAATCACCACCTGGAACCGGATATGAATACTTTTTAAAACACTCAACTTTGTCAATGGTGTTCACTATATACCACTGAAAAATACGTAGAGTATAGTGGTACAATATAAATACCTTTTATAATAATATTGTATTTGTTCCAAGCATCAATTAAATTATTATTTTATAATGTATAATTAACATAGCCACTTATGTTTATGTTTTCATTAAATCATTGTCCATGACCATTTAAATCAATGATACAGCTTTATATACCACTAAGCTTCCAAATGGTACAAACAGGAACCATTTCTGTACCACTGAGTTTTGTAATAGTAGAATTTTACATTTGTGACAAAGTCCAAAATCGCAAGGGTTTTATGTTATTATAGCCTTCCATTGCCTTACATAATCTTGGAAGAGTGGCATAGGGTAGTATAATGGATCCGTCAAACACAGTTAATGAAATTAATTTGCACTCCCTTACATTATCACCAATAATATGTTCCATGATGGGAAAAGTAAAGGAATCTCATAAACTAAGAGTAACATATATCTATAAATATATATTATGCAATAACCGAGTGTGACGCGGTATGTGTTTAACCTTCACTCAATATGTCATAGCTGGCAAGGTCAAAGTAATAAATTCAATTTCTAATTAACAAATATTTCATTTTACACTTATATTGGTGGAATTATTGGGCAATACTAGTTGAATGCATAAACTTCCCAAACATTCTAAGTCCCTTTATTGCGTTTTTTGTCCCACTAATTTAGTACTAAGTTCCAGTGGCTTACCTTAGGTACCCTAACCACACACAATGGTACCCTACATTAAGAAAAAATGTGTCACAATATTTTTAAAGGCTCTATTTTTAATGTCACGTTATTAATAATCTTTACCACCGAGTTCTCAAATGACATATTTGATGCATGGATGTGTACCACTGTTTTCTTAATGGGATTTTAAATGCAACTTCTGTGTACCACTGCTTTTATGAATGGGATTTCCATCCATGTAATCACCTACATGACACTATCCCACTTATCACCTAAACCAGATATAAATACTATTTGAAACACTCAAATTTGTCAATGGTGTTCACTATGTACCACTGTATAATACGTAGAGTATAGTGGTACAATATAAATACCTTTTATAATACTATTGTATTTGTTCCAAGCATCAATTAAATTATTATTTTATAACATATAAATTACATAGCCACTTGTGTTTATGATTTCAGTAAATCATGGTCCATGACCATTCAACTAAGTGGTACTGCTTTATATACCAATAAGCTTCCAGATGGTACAAACAGGAACCACTTTTGTACCACTGAATTCTGTAATAGTAGAATTTTACATTTTGTGAAAAAGTCCGAAATTGCAAGGGTTTTATGTTATATTATGGCCTTCCAATTCCTTACATAATCTTCGAAGAGTGGCATAGGGTACTATAATGGATCCGTCAAACACAATTATTGAAATTATTTCGTATTCCCTTACATTATCACCAATAATATGTTCCATGATGGGAAAAGTAAAGGAATCTCGTTTACTAAGAGTAACATATATCTATGAATATATATAATGCAATAACTGAGTGTGACGAAGTATGTGTTTTACCTTCACTCAATATGTCATAGCTGGGCAAGGTCAAAGTAATAAATTCCATTTCTAATTAACAAAGATTTCATTTTACAATTATATTGGTGGAATTATTGGCCAATACTAGTTGAATGTATAAACTTCCCAAACATTCTAAGTTCCTTTACTGCGTTTTTTTCCCCATTGATTTAGTACTAAAATCCACTAGCTTACTTAGTGGTACCTTAACCATACATAATGGTACCCTACATTAAGAAAAATGTACCACGAAATTTTTAAAGACTATTTTTAATGTCACGTTATTAATAATCTTTACCACCGAGTTCTCAAATGACATATTCAATTCATTGCACAGATGTGTACCACTTTTTACTTAATGGGATTGTAAATGCAACTTCTGTGTATCACTGCTTTTACAAATGGGATTTCCATCCATGTAACAATGTGTACCGCTGCGTATCCAAATGGGTTTATCAATGGCACGTTGTGTACCACTGCGCTTTCAATGGTTTCTGAATCCAACATGTTGTACCACTAAAAAGGAATATGAATAAATGGGTAACAATATTTGGTGTGTGGATAATTTATACTTCCTCCGTTTCTTTTTAATTGACACGTTTGCCTTTGGTCACGCTTGCCAATGCACAAATTCAATCATTAATTTAATTAATTACCGATAACCAAAAATTATAAAAAATTGATATTTTAAAAATATATATCGTCACAAATTTAATAAGATCCCACATGACCATACCAATACAGCAAACCATATTGTAAAAGAAACAACTTTACTACACCGTAACAGTAACAATGGAATGAATTTAAAACAACTATAGAATAGATAGCATAATCAGTTGAGTCCTTTCCAATACATGTTTGAAATGACACTTTAATATGAACTTAATATGTACCACTGAAGAATCTATTGGTACTTTCACAAATTAACTGTCCCAATATTTGTCCCACTAGGGTCAAAGAATGCAATAGATAACAAATGAAACTACTAAATGCAACTCATAACCCAGAGTCATTCCACTAAAATTAGTTAGCACCTCGCAACTCTGAGTTAACCTTAAGAATGTAAAGTACGCTAACAAACCATCACCGTCTATCATTTGAATTCCTCCTGCAAAACGAATATACTCATCGGTGGACAAGGATATGGTGTTATAATTTGCGGCGGCTTGCTTCTTTGCTTCGGTTTTGGCTCTTGCAGCCTTCTGTTTTCCCTTTTTTTCTATGCATGGTGGATATCTTACACTGGTAGTCCTATATGTGCCTTCTTCTTAGGTAAGGGTGGATCTTTAATCCTTGCAAGGACAGATCCATCGCAACTCCCCTGATAAGTACTTATTGGTGTTATTATATTTGGGATGCCTTGTACAGGAATTGCTGGTGTAGTCATTCCTTCAGATGAAGGCGTTCGGACTACACCATCAACCCCCTCATCTTCTTCATCATTGTCCTTATCCTTATCTTGATGTTGCCGCCTTTTCTCCACCATGGCTAGGACTTCATATACTCGTAGGTCCATCAGTTGCAGCAAATCCACAACAGCTTCAACACTCTCTGCACATGTAGATGCCTTTGAGCAAATAGGTTCATAATCGACCATCAGCTTCTGATACTGCCTCACTTCATTAGTCTTTAGTGGATCGTGGTAAGCAACTTTTACTCTAGTGTGCTTCCTTTGAACATCCTTCCTCCAACGACGAAGAACATATTTCTCCGGAAAAATGCTAACACCACTAAGGTCATACACATGGATAATATGTCGACAAATTACCCCATGGCATTCAAAATGTTTACAATCACATGTAGCCGCATATGAAGTACTTTCATAAATGACCCTATAGCATCTCCTAATTTTTGACACTGATTCTTTCTTTGGAAGTTTTGGCTTAATCCACACGCGATCCTCAAGAACAAATTCATAAGATTGTCACCAATTTCAAGCTGATCTAAACAATGCACATACAAACACTTGGTACACTCACGTTGCACTTCTTTAAACTTGGCATCAGTGTAGCACTTCTGGAACATCTCTTTAGCAGGGAAGTCAGTACATAAATGCCTAACGTAATGGAGCGTGTTTGAGTCCGTAATTTGCTCCGATTCAGCCCTTATCTGCATAGCATCGCAATACCTAAAAACTCAGACAAAGTTGTATGCTTGTTAACATACCCTTTGAAGAAATGATTGAAGCTCTCCGACCGTTGTGTGGTTTTCATCCCTGCCTAGAACAAGTGCTTCAAATATCCTGGGATCCACATGTCCCTTTCTGCGAACAGACCTATGTTTTTTTGGAATTAACACCCATCAAATAAGTTGATTTACTATCATTACTGGCCTCATCAAATCACCAAAAGCTGGGTAAAACAAACTAACATTGTCATGATTTACCAAAATTTTGTACCACTAGGGCTGGTAAATACCACTCAATACATCAGCAGCACAAAATAGTAACAGAAACAAGCTGCACAAAATAGTTACAGAAACACAATACGCAGTAACACAATAAGGAGCAGTAAACATATGCAAAATATGTGTGAATTATGAACAATTTCCAATAGCTTCTTAACAACTACATATGAATTGCGAACAAATCCTCACATTTTCCTATTCAAAATATAATAGCATACAACTACAAGAAATTATAAGCAAGTGAAATAAACAAACCTTCTAGCCAAGCGTTATCTTGCAGCTTATAATGTTCAATAGCTTCCAACCACCGAGCATCAAATTTATCCTCATCTAAACTTCCGTATAAGATATTCTCCAACTTATCCTTTACGACATCATACACCTCGTGCTTACCTACGTACCTGCCGAACTTCTGAAGGATGTGCCATATGCACCACCTGTGGCACGTTTGACTCATCGTCGAGTAGACATCTCTTCTAATTGTTGTGTCTTGATCTATAAGGATCGAGATAGGAGCTTTGCACCCCATGCAATGCAACCATGTCCTCAACACCCACTCATAAGTCTCAGCAGTCTCCCAAGATATCAATGCACATCCAAATAAAATACTCTGCCCATGATGATTGACCCCAACAAATATAGCACAGGGTAGGTTAAATTTGTTTGTCAAGTACGTGCTATCAAAACAAACAACATCACCAAATTCCTCGTACGCAGCTCTACTCCTCGCATCCCCAAATAACATCTTGTAATACACCGTATTTACCAAACCTACATAGGTGGAAAAAATTATGATTGTCTGCGGTCATTTTGTTAAAGTACTCGACCATACCATTAGCATCCCCCTCTGTGAGCTCAAGCTTCTATTGCTCAGCCATTGCATTCTCTAGATCTTTTTGTGTAAACGCCATTTCCTACACTCCATTCTGCTCCCTAGCAAAAGAGCTATACATTTGGGATACCTTCACCCTAGACTTCATTGCAATACAGGTCTTTTTCACCAAATGTTTATTTTTGACAACCAACTCATGTTTGCAGAACATCGATACATCCCGACTTTCTTGGTGTCACAATGTGTGTATGTGTTAAACAAAGCCTACGAACCACCCAATTCCCTTGCTCATCAATGCTAGCATACAACTCCATAGGACAACCACACTTTTTGGATTTTCGTTTCACAATAGTTTTCTCATCTTGTACCAAACCTTCCTTAAGATTATCTTGTTTGCACTTCCTGGATGGTCTTCCATAGCATTCACAAGTCCATTTCACATCCTTTTCTGTTTACAACACCTTCCATCTCCCAATTCCTTCTTCACCTTTTTCCAACCAGCATGCAGCAGCCCGAACAATATCGAATCCTTTATGTCTAGCATACCTCCAGAAATAACAATCTACCTCGTCCCAACTACCAAAAACCATGCCAACAGTAGGGAGTGTTACTTCCTCTTCCTCACCAAAAATGGTTCTAACCATAACCCTCTTCTTCGGGGTCCTAAATGTTGACCCCCCTTCAGCTTCTGCCTCCACTTCTAATTCCTCATCTTCTAACCGCTCCTCTTCTAATCCCTCCTCTTCTACTCCATCCTCCTCTTCTCCTTCTTCATCTCCACCTCCATTATCATCCGGTCCTACTCCTGCTACCTCCTCCTCATAGACATGTCCACCATCCTCACCATTATTCCCATAATCATCACCAACACCCACAATCAATTCATACCTCAATGATAAAAAATATAACAGATTCCCATACCTCAATCAGAAGAAAACAAAAATATAACACTTACCCACAATCAATTCATCAATGTTCAAAATAATGGTACTAATAAGGTTCATCAATTAAATAAGGAAACCATATACATTAAGAATAAACACTGCCATGCTAAATTATTAGTGAATTCGAAACGAAAAAAAACCATTAAGAATTCCAAATTAATCATTTACCCAAATCACCTACTGAATCAACAACATTCATTTCCTAAACTTTAATTTACACTTCCCGCACCAACCAACAACTTAACTAATCATTCTTTCACATTCCAAAACAACAATTCCTAATCCCAGTATTTTTATGAGCTAAACAATGCTACCCAAATCAACTGTTGAATCAACAACATTCATATCATTTCTATACTTCAATTTAAATTAGCAAACAACAATTATCAATTCAATTAATCATTTCAATTAACACACATTATGAACAATTTTGCCAGAAAACCCTAAATACAAATTCTTACTTCATGGTCTACAAATTACTACAGATACAACTACACACTTACATTGTCAACGTCAAACCGCAACTCCCTTGCACAACCATGGCCGTCTTCGCAAACATCACCTATTGCTTCAGCTAAATCGACCCCAAGAATTTCACCTAACCTCATCCTCGATGTAGTATTTCTTACTTCACCAAAACGACAGTTTATGGGTTTCATTTATTAATGTGAACTGCTAAACATCGCCCGCAAATATCTACATAAAGCCCACAAATTTTAGGTGAATTGACACTTTTGCCCTTATATGTTAAAAAAAAACTCTCACACACTCTCATCTTCTCTCTACTCTCATCACCTCTCTCTAAAAAAAATATTTCAAACTACAATGTCGAGGCAGCAAGGCAAGGAATTGGCGGCAGCCGAAGTGGAGGGAAGGCGGTCACACATGAAAGGAATGGTGTCCTTCCAACAAGTGTATTATTCTGATAGAGGGTTCAGAATTATTATAGAGCTAATTCTTCAGTAAGGTCAAGTGATCGGAATGCCTAGGTGGAGGCCACTTCCGATTAGTAATATTAAGGTACAATTAACATTACAGCTTAATCTTAACTGAACCCTTCGGGTCGAACCAAATCGAATAACCGATCCGAGACGACGAATCAATCCGAAGGATTCGATGAGTCTTCGGAGTTTTACGAACACAGAAGTCGGATATCGAGCCTAGAGCGTCGAGACCGAGCGTCGCAAAATCACAAGCAACAAGTATGAGCATAGCCGTAGCATCACATTGGCCTAGCCATGTGAGTGCTTAAAGGAATGGTGTCCTTCCAACAAGTGTATTATTCTGATAGAGGGTTCAAAATTATTACAGAACTAATTCTTCAGTAAGGTCAAGTGATCGGAATGCCTAGGTGGAGGTCGCTTCCGATAAGTAATATTAAGGTACAAATAATATTACAGCTTAATCTTAATTGAACCCTTCGGGTCGAACCCAATCGAACAACCGATCCGAGACGACGAATTAACCGAAGGATTTAATGTGTCGACAGAGTTTTACGAATACAGACGTCGGATATCGAGCTTAGGGCGTCGAGACCGAGCGTCGCAAAATCACAAGCGACAAGTACGAGCATAGCCGTAGCTAGGCTAGGCTAGCTCATCCCAAGCCCAGGCGCACCATGTGTGTGCTTGGCGCACCATGGTGTGCTAGGCGTAGCATGATGCCTAAGCGCCATCGCAGCCCTAGCATCATGCCTAGACGCCATCGCAGCCCTAGCATCATGCCTAGGTGCCATCGCAGCCCTAGCATCATGCCTAGGCGCCATCGCAGCCTTAGCACCACGCACAACACCATCGCAGTGCTAGGCACATGCGTGTGCGTGTGCACCATCGCCCTGCAGCCTCGCAATGCAGCACCGAGCATTCGCATAGCTGTGTGCTTGCGTGCGTGCCTTCGCATGGCAACACCAAGCACACCAAGCTAGAAAGCAGCATTAGCCTCGCTCAGTGCGTGTGCATGTGCACCATCGCCCAACACCAAGCCCAGCATGCGTGGCTCGCTAGCAGCACGCATGCTAGGCCTTGCGTGCGTGAAGGGCTAACAGGCATGGCTATGCGTAGAGCCTGTGCGAGGGATGCAAGTGTGTGCGAGGCAATGCATGGGAGTGCTGGGCCAGCGCCAGCATGCTAGCACAGCCTAGCACTAGCACGCACCAGCACGCACTACCTGGCTGGGGATGCAAGGCTGCTTGCTGGTGCTAGCTGGCAGCGCTAGCTGACACGCTAGCTGGCACGCAGCTGGCAGCCAGCACAACCCTCCTTGAGGCGGTTTGTGTGTGGGTGTGGGGACCAAGAAAAGCCTTGGGGATCAAGGCTATGGTCCCCCCCACCTAACCTTGGGCATCACTCATAAGCATATAATTATGCCACTTGTCGCGTTGTGATTGATCTTAATTATTTATTTAATTTGGAATTAAATAAATTATTGATTTTTACCAACTCTCCCACATTGGTGGGAGATTGGAAATCAAGGGTGCATTTTCCTATACATACCAAAGGCTTGGGTATTTGGGACTACACAACCTTGAGTGGAATTAAAAGGCAACTCTTGATTTGAGTAAACCTTAATTCGTAAAACTCATAGTTTTATTTTTCCGGGTCTCGACTAACCTTCGAGACTTAGGACGCTCGGGTCGGGTTCGAGGGTACAATCCCGTTGGAGACCTCGTATTTTCGGGGTTCAAGTAAGAGCTCATTGTTGAGCGAAGCACTCGTCAAAGGTATAATATTTTATCCTTTCTTGTGTTTAATTATGTTTTGCTTGTTAATTGCATTTATTATGGGGGCGGGTCTTGGTGGGTTTCTTTCCGCGTAGTGTGGGTCACTACGAAACCCAACAGTGCTAGGCTAAGCTAGCTCATCGCAAGCTTGTCTTTTCTCAAGATTTGGGGATGCGAAGCATATGTATAACGATTAATTTCGGACAAACTTCACCCCAATTCAGACAAGTGTTTCTTTGTGGGATACCCAAAAGAAACCAAAGGGTATTACTTCTACAATAAATCCGAGAACAAAGTGTTTGTTGCTCGTGATGGTGTCTTTTTGGAGAAGGAACACCTTTCCAAAATGCCAAGTGGGAGGAAAATCAAACTCGACGAAGTTCGAGAAGACGAGCAACAATGTCAATCTGATAAAACTGACAATCTAAGTGCTTTGGAAGAAAGCTGAGAAGATTAGTCAGAATCAAACAGACAATGTAAATGATCAACCCATTACCCTTCGTAGGTCGTAACGGCCAAGATCTCAACCAGACAGATACCTTGGTATTGTCTTAACCGATGATCAGGACATCCTAGTTATGGATGGTGATGAGCCAGCGACATACAAACAGGCTATGACGAGCCCTGAATCTGCTAAATGGCAAGAGGCCATGAAATCCGAGATGGACTCCATGTCTGAAAATCAAGTCTGGGACTTGGTGAATTTGCCCGAGGGTTACACACCCATCGGTTGCAAATGGATCTTCAAACTGAAGACAAACAAAGATGGAAATGTATCAATATACAAATCTAGACTGGTGGCAAAAGGTTATTGACAAATCCACGGGATTGACTATGATGAAACTTTTTCACCAGTTGCAATGCTAAAGTCTGTACGAATTATCCTAGCGATTGCTGCATATTACGATTATGAAATATAGCAGATGGATGTCAAAACCGCCTTCCTGAATGGGATTTCGGAAGAAACTGTGTATATGACACAGCCAAAAGGTTTTGTTGATCTAAGAAACGATGGAAAGGTATGCAAGCTTAAGAAGTCCATTTATGGACTGAAGCAGGCACGCAAAAGTTAGAATCTGCGATTTGATGAAGCCATTAGCAAGTTTGGTTTTATCAAGAATCCAGATGAGTCTTGTGTCTACAAGAAGGTCAGTGGGAGTGACATCGCATTCCTAGTCCTATATGTCGATGACATACTGCTCATTGGAAACAGCACAAAATTACTAGAGTCCATAAAGGGCTGGTTGGGA